GAAGAAAATATTGTTATCTGTGGTGCACCAGCAAAAGCGATTAGAATTTGCTAGGGACTTTATTAATTTTGATTGGGCGAACAGTGTGGTTATATTTAGTGACGAAAACACTTTCAAGTCGGATAAGGATGGCGTAAAATATTGTGGAGAAAAGATGGAGAAAGGTATACGAATTGTAACCTTCTGCCTTGTAGGACCAGTGGCCGTATTACTGTCGGGTATTGGGGTTGGATGTCTTTTATGGGTCCCGGTGAGCTCGTGGAAATATCTGGTCTCAGTAACAGTCATGATTACTTGAATATTTTACAAAACGTAATGTAGCCTTTATTCAAATTAACTTATAATAATGTTTATATTTTTTAAGAATATTAAAATGCTGTCTAGAGCATACGGTGAAGTGATGTTATTGTTTTGTGGTTAGAAATTGTCATAATTTCTTTCTATTCAACATGTTGATTCACTTCACTTTAATTTTTCATTAACAAATTTATTTAACTGATTTCGAGCTTGATTGACATATTATATTTACGCACATCTTTAACTAATTTAAAGTTTCCCTGAATCTAAAGGTCATGAATGTTAAAATCGTTCCATAGCATTTGACACATTTTTTTTAGTAACATACAGCCTCTGAATATTGAACCTTATAACAACGGTCGTAAAATAGATAATTAATTGAAGATTTCAATGACAAAAAGTCGCCCATTTCAAGAAATAACATGTTAAAATTTCAGTGTAATTTTTTTTACATGTTTTACTTGTTTATTACTTAATGTTTTATTAAATTACAAAACAAAAATGTTGTATTTGTTTATTACATAATAAAAAATGTTGCTGCCATCGCATTACCGCATGATACTTCCCGATTCGACTACTTATGAGGTTTATTATCATATCTATTAATTATGATTTAAAGAACTTTAAACTTAACATGTGGTATATAATTAATTATTAGATACAAATATTGAATATAAAAGCACATATTTGTATAATAAATAAATTAATTGTAATAAAAATTGGTATTGTTTTATTTACCGACTCATTTGCTTCTTTTATAGCCTGATATAATATTACAAAAAACAAAAAAAAAATAAGAAAAACAACAAGGTAAAATAAAAAAACTTTTAGCTGGAATAGAACCCACATCATCATTGATCCTTGAAAGACGATAAAAGCGTGCTCATTAACCAATCGACCAGGAGTATTACGATAATGACAGTGAAAATGTCGGGTCATATCAATGATTGTAAATAGTTTTAACCTTACCCTTGCATTAAATTATAAAAATACGTATACCGACAAAAGAATGAATATACCAATGTGAATGTGGTGGACGAATATTTTTATACACAGTAATATGAAATTACCCACACATGCACACTGTGTAAATGACAGTTGTGTCGATGTGTGGCGCTGCTACTAATTAGCGGTGTTTTGTGTACATATCCTGACAAGTCACACATTAGAAAGGAATGGCCTGAGATATCAACCGTAGGTTACTTAACACAAGGCTGAAATCACGCAATCAAGTGTTTACACATTACTAAAACTTAAACTAGAATATTTCATTTAGGCAAGTGCTGGTTATATGCTCCTTTCAAGACTTATCCTTTTATATGTACCTACAGCTTAATTAACAGTATGTCAATGAGTATGAGTGATGTCTGTGTAATCAGTACTGCAAACGACGTTACCATACACGAGTTTTGCACCACCAGTGCTCAATAGTAAGCAGTGCAATGGTGCGGACATGTGCGAGGGACGTTTGGCAACCGTATCACTAACCTGCCTTATACGGCTGTTTACAAGCGAACATTCTTCAGTAGTTGACTAATACGAGCAAAACCATGCTACTTTTAATCATAAGGAGGTAAATAGATATCGGACACATACGGACATATCACGTACGGTACATTCTCCAGGTTTCGCGTTACGTGTGTGTGGTATCTACCCACAGTGACATCAACAACATCTAAACGATATTACATAAAATATTTTCATATTTTTGGATTTTAAAAAAAACATTGCCCTACGCAAGGATTTTGTGTCGTGGGTGCGTTTACACCCAGACCCGAAACAACAATCTGTGAATCACACAAAGAGTTGTTCCATGCCGGAATCGAAGTCGCGACACGTTGCGCGGCAGTCAATTGCCCAACCACCGCGCCAACCGTGCAGTCATTAATACATGAACGAGTACCGGTGGATTGATGACCTGATAAAGGTCACAGGAAGCCGCTGGATGCAGTTTGCTATGAGTCGACCGGCCTGGATACCACCGTGGTAGCTTATGATATGACGATGATGACTCATGTCATCTATACCTATATAGTGATATTATTTGGCACAAATGTCGCTAGGCATATAATATTTGTAATTTCCTTCAACCAACGCCTTTAGATTGTAAAACGAGTACATAATATCCTTATCATATTATGTTCATTAATTACAGGTAGTTACGGTGTACGTTAGATACGTAAAAACCAGCAGAATAGTATTCCATTGACAATGGCGGGCAGTAAGAAGTTGAGTTACGTAGTGTTCTAGTGTTACCCGACAATCGAGGAGCGGTGTACTCGTGAGTTGTGAATCAACAGTGAGGTTGGCCAATCAATATAACGCCCGAACAATGGTCCGCTCTCATGAATGCATTGTGCCCTATTGTGGGACCTGCCGAACCTACGCCCAGTGCTCGGTGCTAGGGTTCACAGTTTACTAGTAAGATTACTAATTTTTATTGTGATTGTATAATGTTCGTCGAGTACCTCATTGCTCGTTGCTCGAGTAGTCGCCAGTGCTACGGATCTTTTGAGTCAGTATAGAAGAGGCTTTATGGTTAATGACCTTCCCTCTATAATCTGATCTGCGTATGATCTAGGACCATCTATAATTTGATAATGATATTGATGACATAATATTTTATCATAGCTTTAGCTCCGTAGCTTGTCGGTCGTCGGTCATGCAACGCTCAAGAAAGGAGGTTGTTGCAATAAATATGTATTTTTTTTTATGGAATTATCTGATAAATGGGCAGACGGATCACCTGATAGTAAGCAATATGGCACCGCCCATAGACACCCAAAACACCAAAGGTGTTACAAGTGCGTTACCCGCCTTTTGGTGATAAGGAATTTAAGGATTTTTGGGGATTCGGGGATGGGGAGATTGGGGGGTAATTGGGCCTCCGGTAACCACTCACATTATGAAACACAACGCAAGTGTTGCTTCACGTCGGTTCTCTGCTCGGCCGTGGTATCACTCCGGTTGAGCCGACCCATTCGTGCCGAAACATAGCTCTCCCACACTTACCTTCAAGGAGTTACTAGCCTTTATTTTCTAATTAAATAGTCAAATATACCTCCAAGTATAGGTCCAGAAGTCGGTATAACTTGCTCAATCTCAGTGTTCCAACGGAAATGTATGTAGAGGTACATTCTACTTCTGTATGTGTAAACGTTATGCAGATTAAATTGTAACTTCTCGCGTTAATGGTCATACTACAACTGCTCGGCAAAAAATATACCTAAAACTTAAGGAAATTGTTGAATTACATTTAACTTCTTACCGTTTTTTTATAATATTATAGGGAGCAACTGATCAGTCGAATTATTTGATGGTAAGCAATTGACGCCATCCATGTAAACTCGCAACACCAGGTGACTTGCAGTTATGTTGGCAGCCTTTTATCAGTTAGGGATTTGAGGATTAGGAACAGGGGACAGGGGACGGGGGACAGGGGACGGGGGATAGGGCGAAATATTGGGCCTCTGTTTTTATCTAAATTTATTGGCAAGAATGTGTAGGACCTCCACCCACAAGCTGGACAGACGACCTAAGTAAGGTCGCCGGGAGCTCCTGGATGCAGGTCACTTTCAACTGGCCGATCTGGAAGCCATTAGGGGACGCCTAAGTGTGGAAGTGAAGATGACTTGTGACTAATTTTTATTATAATGTATGTATGTATGTATATGTGTATGTATGCATGTTTGTTTGTTTGTCTAGGTCTATGTACAAAACGTGCATACATCACAATACACTGAAACAGCACTAATTATGAAACTGCAATAAGTGTAACAGTTGTTGAGGGTACAATGTATTGGCGCGGTTACTCTAATAAAGAAACGCCTTATTCGATGAATCTCTTAGAGTTACTAATTACATTACCACGTGTTGCACGATGAGTGAGAGCACCACGCGAGGGAGTAGCTTTTACTTAATATCCTCCTCCGTTATAATGGTTTTCTTACTCATGTAATCGTTAGACGAGGACCTTGGTTAGTAGATTCAAGCCACGCCAAGGGCTCATCAAATTCACTCTGCAACACACGATGCGGCGACTCTCACGTAAATTATAATAAAAGTTCTCCTTCGTGTGAGTGAGTGCTTCGTCTAAAACTTTAAATTTTGGCACAGAAATAAATTTTAATAACTTCGTGATCTATTCGTATTATAGGATATGTCCTATTACCGTCTAAAAGAATAAAAATGAATAATATACCGTCTAATAATATATAATAATATACCGTCTAAAAGAATAAAAATGAATAAAAATAAATATGAATAAAAGACAATGAAGTGGGCTGCGCAACATCGCCGTGATCGCGCACACTGCTCATGGGAACAACCCTCTGTAACTCGAAAGTAGGAGAGCTTTTCTCAGTATATTTACGAGCGAAATTACTATCAATAAGACAGAAACTGGTGTCTATTCACTCTAGTTGAAACAGATTTTCACTTACATAGAAAACTCAAACCATTAACAAACTCCACTAAAAATAGTCGCAGACGGGATGAGAGTTGTCTACAAATAACATTTTCGTATCGTTTTCCTCAAAAGTTGGTTCCATTCGGGTTGGTGTAGAGGTTACCTATGTAGGTACTAGGTACGTCATTGTACTGTGTATGTACCGTGTACTGTGCCGTGGTAGGGGGTTCGCGAAGGGTTTCGGAAAGTGCAACGAGTGCCGTGGTACGAGGTCGGGCAGGACGTTAAAAGGTGCGCAGGCGCCGGTGCAGGACTAGTGCTTGTCCAACCAACACATTGATAACATGAAGGCTGCTGTGAGTTCTGTTTTCTTTATTTTAATTAATTTAAGATAATAGTTAAGTAATTAATTTATGAATTTTCTTTTATAAGATTTATGATAAAATTTTGTGATATAAAAGGGCTTATAGTTTTATCTTTATTTATTTAACATGTTTGGAAGACTAACAGCTAACAAAACAAAAATTAAGAAATTGTGTGAGAGTGTGGCAGCCAATGACAAGTCATCACATATAAAAACCAAACGTATCTATCGATCTGTATTCATCTGCAATAAACAAGGGGGGTGGATTTTGATATACTTACAAATTGTAATAAAAGTATTATATTTGTAGGTAATCTTAAAAAATGCTTAAGGATTTTGAACGTACTTAAAATAATGTCCTGCTAATCAAAAACAATCTCTTTTTAGCATAGAGTTGAACACTTAGCCGATTTTTTGTTAGTACATTCTTAGTAATCACAAAACACAATCTCATCACTTAGTAGTGTATGAAGAAAACGCCGAAATAGAATTACAAATAATCCGATTAATAATTCGGTGGTAATTGTTCGGATTGACAAAGCACCGCCGTGGTGCCGCGGACACGACGCGACATTTAGCTCACGCAGCGGCCGCGGCCGGCGCACTGTCTGCACGACCCCATGCTAATGTGATGGGAACTCGACCAGCCAACACCGCCGACTCTAACGTTCACACGCCCGCCACTATTGGAAATATCAGCGATACATCTTCTGATACTGCTCATTAATTATTATTATATCATGAATGGCCCGTCCCAGCTTCGATTAGTATTAATTCCAAATTATCCAGGGAAACCCCATTTCCATTGCTTTCTTTCATATAAACCTTTTTCCAACAGTAGGTACTAATGACCGGAGAACGCACTGTTCATGGCAATAAACATATGAAACAGAAATGAATTAGCAAAATTGTAAAGAATAATTTTGGTATTGTAACTTTCGTGAGACATACTAAATAAATTGTTATGTTTTCGGCTTACTCACAAATTATTACGTGAGTAAGCCGAAAACATATTTAATTAATTTAATATAATATTAATTTATTTAATCATTTTTGTGTTTTTGTATCGATGCAAGATGTATGTTGTTACAGCTGTGCGTCGTCCTCCTGGTCGCGGCCCTTGCGTCGGCTGTCGAGGAGAAGAAGAACGAGAAGCGAGGCTTGCTAGGCCTCGGATACGGACTAGGAGGCGGCTTCGGGCACGGGTACTACGGGCACGGACTCGGATTGTACTCGCACAGCGCGCCCATCGTCAGCCACAGCGCGCCCATCATCAGTCACGGGTACGGGTTCGGAGGCTTCGGAGGCTACGGAGGCTACGGTGGATTAGGCCACGGCTACGGACTGGGGCTGGGTCACGGCGTGATAGCCTCCGCGCCCGTCGTCTCGCACGGGTACTCTGCCCCCCTGCTCGCCGGCCACTACGGGGCGCCACTGCTCGGGCTCGGCCACGGCCACGGCTGGCATTGAGCCCTAGCCTAACATAAGTCTCTGTGAATGTACCTTTAGTGCCAAATTACTAAGTCTGCCTGGTGGTTGAATTGACACAAAATTATTTCTTACCAATAAATGTTTCTCGTGTGATGTAGTGGTTTCATTGCAAGGGTTGAACTGTTAACTAATATTATTCTATGTTAAAGTACAATTTGTTGCGAACTTTACGATGAATACAAAGAGAGCAGCGTTAACAGAATAGAATGCAATTATCTAACGAGTGCTAGCGTAGTACCGGCGGTATTACTTGACAACTATTTATTTGTTTTAATATAATTTTATAACAACTTCAACGCCCTAGATCTAGTGATATGTCGTAACTAATAACATAGTGCTGTGTAATAACTAAGTACATAAGATACACACATATAGGTGTGTGTACTATACTAGATAGTAAGGCGAGGAGCTTAGGGCAGCACTTCCGTCGCTGATGTGATCACTGGCCCGATGTCCTCAATCCCGCATTAGCAGCAAATTATGTGTTTCCCTCAGTAGCAAATTAATTATTCATTAATTCGCCGGTAGATGGCATGTCGCAACCGGAAGCAGCCAGCGACGCCGCGACGACGCTCGGAAGTTTGCGAAACAAGTCACCGCGCGTTCATTGAGCGTAGTAGTACGAGTACTAGCTGTTAGGGATATTAGGTAAACTAGGATCTGAGACCGACTTTGAACGAATTTTTATTATAAACTGGTTTACTTTAGCCAAGCTGTATAGATTTTCACAAGTTGTAGGTAATTGAAATATGATTATTAAACTGGGTGCTGTGTCGTAACTACTAGTAGGTATATGTATCAGAGTGCAGTATCTAGCAGCGTGTACTGTGTAGTGTAACGAATGTTAGTACATCAGCGATATACTTCCTAGTTCCCACCGCAGTGGCTGGACTGGTTCTGTGTGACCCGGATAGTTCCCCGCGAGGGCGCGGTCCGGTCGCTAGCTGCAAAGTATCAGGTTATGGCGGCCACCGGCCACACGTGTTTCATAATTCACCTACGCGGACTCCAGTAGTAATCGAATAAGCTGTCGCTGTAACTCAGTGATCAACTGCTCCTAAGTTCATAGGTTCGTTTCCTGGTGTAAAATTTATTCAGGTTTGAATCAAGCTTTCATAGACAATTATGTTATTTTATTACAAGAACGACTTAGAATAAAAACAGTACTTATTGTATTCAGGCTATACTTAGTAGTTTAAGTCTTGTTATCTCTGCTAGAGACATTGTTGGTTGGCTAATCACGAAGAAAATGTAACAACGCCTTCGTCGTCAAAACAAAATTCCTGTAATTTGACATTATACAACATCACTTATTTGAAGCACTACAGCACACATACTCTCATACGATACTGGTTTCTAGTTGCCGTCATATAAATCATGAGACACACTCGACAGTAGTCAGCAGGAGCGTCAGGAATGCGCACACTGTTGCAACAACTTGCTCCATTTCACTTATACATACATAGTTGCAACATGTGCACATGCAGTACGTGATGGTGTGCGTCACATCAAATATATCACATGAGTACATCTAGAGTACCACCCTGTGCTGCAGTTATTGAAAACTTTGCTGTGTACGAGTATCTCCCTACAGGCCTGTTGAATATTAAAACTCTGGAATGCTAAAATAGAGAGTAACAGGCCTAAAGTTATGGTCTTTAAGGCCAAACATAATAACAGGTCTTAACGCAAACCTGTGGATTGATCCAATGTCTAACAGATAACGATCCAAAAATATATCCATATCCAAAACCGATCTTTGTTTGATTTCATTTTGGATCGAAATCGGTTAATAATTTTAGCCGTAAGTACCTATACCTACTACATCGTTTTGTTAAGAGCTGCACTAGACCCTGCAGTCTAGTCGCTAGGGTACCTAGTAGTAGGTAATGAGGTTAGGTATTATGGACATCAGCAGGGCCGGCTTAGACAACGCTGGGGCCCTTGCGCACACAACAATTCGGGCCCTTGTGGAATGTTTCTTTTTTTTACGTCGCATAACTTCTGTATCGTGGGTGCATTTACAAACATACAAGTTCACATACACATGACACCCAGACCCAGAACAACAATTATTTGTGGATCACACAAAGATTTGCACCGTGCAGGAATCGAACACGCTACACGTTCCTGGGCAGCCGGTTGCCGAACAACTTGTAGCAAGTATGTGTCCGTCATAGAAATTGTCGGTCCTTCGGGGCACCCAGTGGATGAGGAACCTGGGCACGGGCCCCGATTTAAATTACCTCTATATTAAAGACGGCACTGTACATCAGTACATAATATTCTAAGTAAAAGTGTAAGGTTACGCTGGCATTAACGTGGGGGGGGGGGGACTGAAGGGCCATCGCCGATACGTCTTGAATTAGTTCAATGTTCTTTGACATTATTTATGATCATTTACGAAATATATCAACAACATCGTTAATTATTTACTCATATTTTCAATGTCAACTCATAATTAAAATTGATATGAAACTGAATGAATTAAGGTAGGGAGGTAGGTACTCAACCCGTGGCACACACGTTATTCACTACATACTTTAATACTTTATTGTAATGGGTAGTTCTACATACCATAAAATCACGCATCTCAGCCCCAAAGGGTTAGGCAGAGGTGCACATTACAGCTCTTAATGCCACTGTATAATGTAACACCCACTTTTAACTATTTTATGTTATGAGTCCCATGTAATAGGGGGTGAGTCTATAGATATACTGAGATTATTTTTAAAACCCAAGTAATACTTTGCCCGACCCGGGAATCGAACCCAAGACTCTATGCCCAGCAGCCACACTTGCGACCACTCGGCCAACGAGGCAGTTGACGAGCAGTACCAGCAATAGGCAAATGGTACCTGGATAATACGTTTAGATACAGTTCCAACAGTCGGGCGCCTGTTCATTTCCAAATACTTGATATGGTTTGACACAGCCATGCATATCTAAGCTCGTATGATATCAAAACACTGCTTACGTACATACGTTGACCGACTCATTACTCAAGGGACTTTCTAACAGAGGATTTAGTTTTTTGTCATTTCTTGGTTTCATAATAAGATAAATAGTTAAATCAGTGACTAGGCTAGCTGAAATCTGTACCCGTATCTGTATCATAATCATCAATACATAGTATAAAACAAAGTCGCTTTCGCTGTATGTCCGTATGTATGCTTAGATCTTTAAAACTACGCAACGGATTTTGATGCGGTTTTTTTTTAATAGATAGAGTGATTCTTAAGGAAGGTTTGTATGTATAATACATGCATATTGCACCCGTGCGAAGCCGGGGCGGGTCGCTAGTTCAATATAAATAAAGTTCACCCCTCGGTCCCTGACATTCTTGCAGCTCGGTGTACGTAATATATAACTTATCTGTCTAAACCTATATAACACATAATATTTTATTGTGTACAAGTACAACGAATACGGTTCTTTAACATGCCATAACATAATGCCTAGATTTATTTTGATATTAAGAAGCAGTCGTGTGTTTCGCTCTTATATTTAAGGCAGGCACTTATAAATACTTTCATTATATCAATACATAGTATAAAACAAAGTCGCTTTCGCTGTATGTCCGTATGTATGCTTAGATCTTTAAAACTACGCAACGGATTTTGATGCGGTTTTTTTAATAGATAGAGTGATTCTTTAGGAAGGTTTGTATGTATAATACATGCATATTGCACCCGTGCGAAGCCGGGGCGGGTCGCTAGTTCTTTATAATTCAGTTTGAGTATATCTATTGGTGATTAATCAAAGAATAATTTCTATAACAACTATACGTCATACGTATATTAAATATTCCCAGATTCTTTTTAATAATTCCATCCAAAGGTTGTCTGGCCCATTGTACTCAAATTACTATTGAAATGTTTACAATTTTTTTTCTGTGTGTGCAATAAAGAATAAATGTAAATAAATAAATATGTATTATATTTTGTCGGGATAGACAAATGTACAAAATAACTACCTAATGTGCCCAGTGAATATTTGTATAATTTTAGAATGGCCACTATCTACAACTTTACCTATATTATTTAATGCGCACATTGGGCCCTTTTGTGAGGTCCATTTGATTGAATAACCTTATACATAAACGAGATAACAGTGAGCACGTCGAATGGCTTTTTTGACACAGTTGTACGAGGAAATCGAACCCGTGCGAGGCAGGCAGCGCGACACGTGCGCGGCATTGTTCAACTCATAATACTTATGTAACTAATGATTTGTTGAATTATTACATCTTAAGCAACGGATTCTTCCAACTCATAAATTACTTTTGACCGTTTATCTAGGTACATACATTATATTATGAATGCTTTCTTTGCATGAACCAACAAGAGACCGTTTTTCCTTATAGATTACAGGTCATAACAACTTTATTACTGCATCCCGTGGGGACTTTACGATATGAAAATGAAGTAATTGGTATCATTTCCGATGCAATGCATTAATGGCCAAACATAGGTCCGCGAACGTTGCCGCAGCCGCAGCCACGCCACGGTCGCGCGCATACTAATACGCACTGCGGAATAATCGGCTCATCAGCTATTCATAACTATGTTTATTGGAATGAACTAATGATATATGTTTTGGTTAAATTATAACTGTTACGTAAGAATACCTTTGGAGACATTTCATCAGGTCTGAGGGCAGTTTACGCAACATTCAAATTAATCAAGTATTGGTATATATGAGCCGGGCCCGCTTGGTGGGCGACAAACCTCTGTTGCCACCGACATCACACGCACTCACCATGAAACTGTTTGTGAGTAATGCTTTTGTTCCCTTGTTCCGTGTCTGTATCGGCAGTAACGTAGTACTTGTGTTCCAGTGCCAAGAAGTGACGTGAATTACTCATTACCAATAGAGTAACCTTGACTGGAAGTGTGTGTGTCGCGTCTGCGTGCTTGTTCTGTGATCAGTTAGCCAGGCAGTGTAGCAGCCAGACAACAAGTTACTGTGCAGCACTGCAACATGACTGCAGTCTGAACACTCACACATTACATAAAACTTGTTGCTCCTCAATCTGGTCTGCCCTCAGTGTTGATCATGTTCTATTTACGGAGATTAGTTAATAGAATAATTGCATTACACAGTTAATCCGATTGCTAAATATAATGTGAATATCATTTTGATTTATTTGTGAAACAAGATTGATATAAATCCGTTATTGCCAAATCATTTAATTTATGAGTAGATATGGCATCTTTATGTGTTAGTTGGGGGTCACCTTGCCCCTGCGCTAGCTGTGTGACTATATTATCATGTATAACGAGTTGCTTAGCCTCCATCAGACACACGGAATACATCAGCTGATTACTAATGATTGCAGCTGATAATTAATTATAGTTAATTATTATGTAGTGATTACATGATGTTGACACGAGATGTTTGTATTGTTCATCAGGTGTGCACGTTGCTGCTGATAGCGAGCTCGTCTGCTTCGCGGGAGAAGCGCGGCATCTTCGGTGAGCCAGGCGGTCTGCTGGACGGGCTCAGTGGCCTGCTGTCAAAGGGCTCCCACTCTGGTTCGAGTCACTCGCACAACTCCCACAGAGCCCCACATTACTCGCACCACTCACACGGGCCGCCCGCACACTCGCACCCAGTCGTGCTGCACGCCGCCCCCGTACACGCCGCACCGGTGCACATAGAGCCCCTGCACACCGAACACGTACACCACTCAGCACCGCTGCTGAGCTCCCACTCCCTGCACTCCGCCCCAATCCTAGAGTCACCACCTTTGCCTTCTGCTCCACTGTATTCCTACGCTGAGCCGCTGCACTCCCACGCTAGCCTACATTCAGCTCCACTGTCTAGCTCCTACGACCACTCCCCAGCGCTGCACTCTGCGCCCATAATTGAAGCTGAACCTATACATCTAGAGCATGCAGCTCCCATACATTCTGCTCCCCTCAGTGTGAGCCACTCCGCTCCTCTCAGTTTAGGCCACTCTGCACCACTAAGCTTAAGTCACTCTGCTCCACTCAGTTCAAGTTATTCTGCACCTCTCAGCCTAAGTCACTCAGCTCCCCTTAGCCTTAGCCACTCTGCCCCCCTTAGTTCAAGTTATTCTGCACCTCTCAGTCTAAGTCACTCAGCTCCCCTTAGCCTTAGCCACTCTGCTCCCCTTAGTTCAAGTTATTCTGCACCTCTCAGCCTAAGTCACTCAGCTCCCCTTAGCCTTAGCCACTCTGCCCCACTCAGTTCAAGTTACTCTGCACCTCTCAGTCTAAGCCACTCTGCCCCACTCAGTTCAAGTTACTCTGCTCCCCTTAGCTTGAGTCACTCTACTCCACTTAGTTCCAGCTACTCTGCTCCCATCAGTGTGAGCCACTCCACCCCCCTCAGACTAAGCCACCCGTCGCCCAGTGGCTTATGTGGCTCAGGATGTAACTCTGGTTCTCACTACGCTAGTCATGCAACTCCCATACGTATCAGTCACATCGCTCCCTCTCACTCCTTGCACTCTTCCCCGCACTACTCCAGCCACTCATCGCTTCACAACCACCACGGTTACCCCAGCCACCATGACCACCATGACCACCACGACCACCACGGCCACCACGCCTCGGCAGCACCTGTCATCATCAAAGTGATCAAAGCACCTCCCCGGTACGCCTCCGGCTGGTGGTAGAGAACTTCTGCTGACACTAAAATAATGACACAATAAAATAATGCGGACCGCCTCTGTGTGTATTATTTCTAGACTACCTATGTTATCTCTCACCTAATGACACTTATACCACAATATACTGTGTACTGTGTATGTACAGCCACTTTTCATCAGCGGTGTTATCAATTCCATGTATTAGGAGGTGCATCTATTGTAATACACCGGGTGGAATTCCAGACTCTGGGTATTTGATGTCCTGCAAAATTTCCGACAAAAGTCGACTCCCCATACAATTTAATCCACGGTTTGCACGCGTACGAGTATACGGGAAAGCGCTGCTACGTGCTACGGACTACGCGCTACGAGCTACGAGCTATTAGGGCTGGCTGAGCATGTAGGGTTAGAATCTTGGGTTTGATTTCTAATTATTTTTTGACAGTGCGAGCTATATTATAATCTCGCCGTGACATGGTCTTGCACGAGAATATTTGTGTGGGTTAATTATTTAATTTGATTGTGTTTCCACAGGACGGATGTCCTGATTTAATTATCTATACCATCTTATAATAATAATACTATGATATGAATACTAATCAGCTTGATATAAAACCAAAATCATTAAAATATTTACAATATCTTGCATATTTTATGTGATATGACCTCGCAATAGAGATTCATTAAGGTAAAATAGAATAATCTAGATACCAATGAATCATATACTTAACAAACACAAACATTTGTTTCTCATTGAAAATATCTAATTTACACGAATAACTCGACAACTTAGAAATGATATACTGTGTACCTGTACATTGAAGGCATTTCTTTGCATTTTAGGCAAAGGAAATACATGAAATACATAACTTACGTATATTGGTAATGAGTATCTATTTGCATTTATTAATATTATGTTAATCATGTAGTACACTTGTCAAATATAATAGTGCCGCTGTTGCACTACTAGATGTCGCTAAGAGTCCTCTCTCCAGCGACTGATGACGCTGTACCGCTCGTTTTTAAGTTTTGATAAAATATACGCTTTTTACCACTAACTACTTACTTCTAAAAAAAGCAGATATTACGTGTAATGTGTATGTTAAATTATTATGAAGACGAAGGTTACTAAGTGCGACTGATTTGGGAGTAGTGTTGGATGTATAACAAAAGATCTGCTTCTTATTATATTACACTGATACATAAATACAATGAGTTAAAATTGAGGACAAAATTTCCTTCACCCCTTTCGAATATAATGTTAAAAGTTATATTAAGTTGAAGTCTACGGGGAAACATCGCATTCTCAACAGATTTTATATTACTCATTATCTAGAATTCTAGATCATTATTCTTAATGTGTACAAATTATCATAAATGTATTCGTTTATCTTAATAGGTATATTTTATACATTTTGGGCGGCCGTGAATTCAAAATTACTGCCCGAATTCTTTTGTCTCTCGCCTCATTGTACTGGTGATTATGTACTCATTTACACAAGAGTGCGATTAAGAGGATTTGTTTATAAGAATCACATCGAATCTAAACGTCACCGCACACCTAACAAGCACAGCTCCGGCGCGCCACGACTCCGGCACGTCTCCAAACCAGCAATATCTTTGTCATTTATACTTTAAATCGCAGGTATGTCGTATGACATATTTCATAACGTCAATATAAAACAGTTGTAAGCGCGTCAACGGCGCTTACAACCTTTTTGTATTGTTTCCAAAGCAACAAAACGCCATGCTGGAGCTGTGCTTGTCAAGTGTGTGATGACCTTTAATGTCCTTATATCATATTACCTCAAATCACAAGTAACGTAATGTTCGGTTACAGAGTTTGACTACTTATGTAGTCTAATGTACGTATTTATATTGCAGACAAACCTTGAGTTGTTTCGTTTAGGGAAAACCGGCATGTCCTTCTGCGGAGATATTGTACATACGTCCGAATTATTGTGTAGAATACGTGTCAAGAGAAACATCTCGTCACATTCACACGCAGCTCGTGAAGTCGTAAGCTAAGCAGGCGCGGGTTACTTCACACCTAAATTGTCTTACCAACTGCCCAAATAGCCCCACAACACGCACCTCGTCGCACTTTGCATACAGTTTCGTCTCCCGCCATATACGCCAGCTACTCGTTTTGTTACAACTTGCCAATATTCCATATCAGCTCATAATGATGGTTCTGTACACAATATTGTAACATACAGGGAGCGGTTGCAAACTTACCTCGCAGTCTGTGAGACCTCGTCTACAGTGAGGCAGTTTCGTAAACTTTTAACTAATCTGTTAAGTGGCAGTCTATTTACAAACTAACATTACTCTTAGTGTTCCAATTTCCATTTAATTAACTACACAAATTTATGAACGCATGTATATAATACGAGTTTACGATATATTTAATATTATGAATACTAAGCGCATAATCAAATCTAGTGGGATTTTCCCCTTATAACTTCATACATATATATTATAAATTCGTACAATATAGGAGATTGCGCGTGTATGTCATGATAATCTTGCTTATCATCTACATTTTGTAAATATAAGGCCATTGATTGAAAGTAATCCTAGTTTATTGAGGTCGTGTCGAACCGTTTACAGCACTAACATCGAACCTATGAACAGGAAGCGACTGCCACCGAGCGTCCACCGCACTCGCCTTGATATTTATTGAGATGCGATGATACAACGGCCGAGTTACCAATATTTGGCCAGAGCGGCCGACAGCTGTAATAATATACTACTGCCCAGAGCTCCGGTACTCATAAATTCATAATTCTCGACTAGATCAATAATTTTATTGAGATGTATGAATAAATAAAACAGTTAGTCATTATGTTCGCTTGCCACATCTTGGCATTGACCACAGATCTAGCACATAATGAATGCGTTGGAGAAACAACTGACTACTGAGGCTATTCACTCAATAAAGGCTGTGTTCAGAATTCATTCAACATTGTCCTCTCCATCTACAATAAAAGTTAAATCGAATAAAATTCTTTTTTTAATTCTATGTATTTGAGCACAGATGAGTTTAATCATTATTCTTTAGTCGTAAATGAACAGTTTCTTTTGATTCATAGATCAAACTTGAAACCTCGGCTATCTCTGTGTCAATAGATCTTTACACGGCTGCCGCCCAAAAAAACATGTAATGTGATCAACAATTCTTATGTTATAAATTAATTGAATTATATTTGTAAATGGCCGCAGACTCACCCTCTATTACATCAACATACTTGGTGTAATTATCGGTGTTACATTCTATGTGCACCTCTGTGTAACCCCATGGGGAATTAAAACAATGTTATCGATATTGTAACTATCACTTATCTATGTTTAGAACTAAGACATGTTAGTCTCAAATTATACTCGAGCTAGATCTACTAAAATGCTAATTTACAATTCACTATTTTGGGAAGATCGTTAAAATTTCAATAGAATGCAAATTATTTGTTATTGTGGCCGACAACTAGTTTCGTGGTAGATTCTATTTGGATGTATTTTATTATTATTGTATTTTGTTAAACACTTACGTCGCCTGACGACCGAGGTGGCCACGTAATGACCACAATTTGCACTTAATAACATTTGCAGGCCATTCATTAACGCTAACGCAATAAAGTGGCACTAGTGCGCTCGCGCCGACAGTGCGAGTCTGCGCAGTCCGCTGTAACTGAACCCTGAAAGTTTTGAAATATAATATTTATAAAACTTCAATCGACTAATTACGAGCACTGCACGGGTCCTCATAATAATGCGTAGACATAAATGTAGATTTCATAAAGTTACTCGCATTGTAAAAATGTATGCAGTTAAGGGGTACTATAGATGTATCAATATGAAGTAAATCTGCTGGTCCTTGCTGCAGTCACCGCCTAACGCGACGCACGCCGCGCATGCGCAGCAGAGTCGCGGCGGTGACGGCCGGAGATGCGTCGGCGACGGCTGACCGCAGACCACCAGTTGACCTTACGCTTACTTATTAGTATATAATTTATGATTTACGCGATCTGCTATACCTTCATATTGATTCCGGATACTAAGTTTTTGCCAAATTAAATAACCTTGCATACAAATGTCGATATTAAGATCATCCATAAAAAAATGTATAATTCACTTGAATATTATCTAAATTATTAGACAAAAACACCTACTTGATGTTTAATTATATATAAAAATACATCTTTGCACTTTGTAATCATTTCCTATGTCGTTGTATTTTATTTAAATCATCCGCCTTCGCTCGTACCACGCTGAATATAGTTTTATTTAGTCAACTAATATTATTACCAACGTTTCAAAAAACACATGACGTAGTTTTAAATCTAGATGATGTTAGTTTTTTTTTTGCTGAGTATTTTTAGAAGAAATATTTAAACTAACTCGAGAAAAAAAAAACAATTGTATTATATTGACATTTTATTGTTAGACACAACACATCGATCACATTAATCAAAATGAATTCTAAACCGAAGCATAGAGACGTGCATATAATTTATTACAATGCAGTAGGTATTTTATTACAGTAATATATCAAGATACGCTTATATTCTGTCACTTATGATTAGTTCGGCAATAACTTATCGTCTGGAATCTGCGGGTCTTACTAAACAAAGAGTAATATATCGGCAGCTAGTCGCTGTTTTAATCCTTTGATTTCTTAGGTCTTTTATTATTTGAAACAAGGAACGGGTGCCTCTTTGATAATGGTGGTGATGGTGACCACCTGGGTGGTTATAGTGAAGTACGAATACTACGCTCTCCATAAGATAAAAGTTGTAAAATCTTCAAAGTCAAAGTCAAAATCATTTATTTCAATTAGGCCAGAATGACACTTTTGAACGTCAAAATAAAAATAATATTAAAAGTAAAGCTATTTGCTCATTCCAAGGTGTAGATTCCTATGGAGAAGAACGAGCAAGAAACTCCAAGTTACTCTTTTCAATCAGGTTCACAATACAATTTACTAGTTACATAGTTTTGCTGTTTGGATTGTGCGAGAACAATGTAACATCAAAATCCAGTCAAAGTGATCAAAAAAGAAAATAACCTTAAGAACAATAATACAGTCTGGATTCTCAGTCTTCAATTATATAAGTCGCATCTTATATGTCACTTTCAAGACATATCTTTCAGAGTCCATTTTTATTGTTAGACGCAGTGTGTAATGCACCTGGCCGCACACATAGTGTTACTACTCTTGAAAGGTAAAAAGAAGACAATAAGTAAGTAATCGTAATAATCTTAATCTGCACCACATACAAACATCAAGGTCCATTCGATGGATGAGTAAACAAATAATTGAGATGTGGTTCGAACCGTCCGGCCTTGAAGTAAGCGACGAATGCTCGATGTTCAAGGGAAACACACAAGTAGGTCGACTGAGGTGAGGGAGCCGAACCTTAAGCCCACAGCAGTACATGGACATTGTTCACATGTGGCCAGAAACATAACTGTGCTACACTATACTACGCTGCAATAACATTCCCTTCTACCTGTATACTGTAACATCGTCTTTAAAATGAATTTAGTTGTTGCATAAACCACGTTTGATAAATAGTTCCTTCATAAACCACTTTAAAAAAAACTGACTTCAACCTTCTCATTTTTATAAGTCAATTCATTAATATACTAAAACCTTCTCTTAAGCGTAACAAACACTGTGTTACTGGAAACCGCATCAAAATACATACATACATACATACATACATACAGGTCGAACTGAGAACCTCCTTTTTTTCTGTTTGAAGTCGGTTAAAAAGTTAAGAAATTCGCATAGAGACGGTTTGTTATTTGGTGTGATTCGTGACGGTCTAAGAGTCTACCACAATTAAATAAATGAGTCGTCTTCACTTACAGTCATTAAAATGTAACATTTACCTCTATAATCTAAACACATACTATCCTATTTGGTTGCTCAATGTGTAATACAGTACTTTGTGTATCTACACATCTACATCGATGTATCTACATCGATCGTAGTACATGGTACATGAAGTTGCTGTTATTTAATATTTAGTTTAGTGCAGTAGTTCTACGCGAGTCAGTGACCCAGTGGGAGGAGCTGCTCGCCTTCAACTATCGATGAGCCGGCAGCACATCGCACAGCAAGCCTCGACGTCCATATCCTACCGGGGTACTATACATTGCTGCGTAGCTAAAGCACAATACACTACACGTCCATACAAAACCAGCAATAGGCCTTTAAGTAAACTAAAATTGGAATTGAATAATTTTGCAAAATCAGCAGGTCTTATTAAATATATAGTTTGGTTAGATTCAAAATACGGATATATTTGGAACTGGTTCTACAAGTGTTTGGAACAATGTCTGTTAGTCGGGGGTGATTATATACATAATGAGATGGGTGTGCGTCTAATATAAAAGGACGAAGATGCATCAGTTGCTGCATACTGAGTACAGTGTTGCAACACTACGACATGAAGCTCCTCGTAAGTCAAAATATTTCATTGATTTTTAATTTTGATACTAATTGTAATAAGAAGCGAGTCTGTTTGTATTTGAGAGCCAAGATTGGTATATGATGTCATTGCATGCCATGCCATTGTGTCATGTAATAAATTGTGCAGTTTCAATTCAAATATTCAAAGTTTATTTTAATTAGACCAGGTAAGCACTTCTGCCCGTCAACAAATAATTTAGAAGTGCAGTTATGTGCTCATTCTAAGGTATGGCTCATACCTATGGAGAAGAACGAGCAAGAAACTCCATAGCATACAAACAATAAACATTACATAAATGAAAACATTCAAACCGTTAAACCGATTTTGTGGAAATAAGTTGCAAACTCAAAATCTATACACTGTTGTAATTATAAATAGGTAAATAAATAAATAATTACTCTTTTTCAATCAGATTTACAATTTTATTTATTTTATCTAATTACTTCTTGTTGAAACGGTAACTCTGTATTGGATCACAGCCTTTTTTAAAGTGCACCTGTAATTAAGATAAATCGGAAAGTTACTTCAATGACATAACATAACATCTCATCAACAAGTAATTTTCATTTCTATGATTATTTATTTCTCGCTACCTGAAGATATGGTGGCACTGTGTACATTAACAGTCGGTGGCAATATCTTACATTGCAACTGTATCCAGAAGCAACTATTTGACGAAAAATTATTAAATTATTTCTTAACACATGTTCTCATTTCGTTGATTCACTCCTATTTCACGATGCACTAGAGCGCATGCGCACGTTTCGTAATTGTCGTAAATTTTGAAGTTATTGTATCATATTGGGACACCGCGGTAGTTGCTGTTAATTAAATGTATTAAATGTGTTGCGACATCCCACACACACATACACACACGCATGTTCTAACATGTAGTGCATCTTGCAACCTGCGCCTGCGCCGTGCACTTATTGTAACAGTTATCTTCAATCTAAAGTGTTAGCAGTAAAACCTTCTCGTCTCATATAAATTATGAAATATACCTCAAATGTTTTTTATTTGATACTAAAACAGAGTTTATTTTACATAAATTCAGTTCAAAATTATGATTGCGTGAACAAACATAATGTAATAAGGTTATATTAACAGTCGTTGCCCTCGCAGGCAGTGTGCATTGTGTACAGTAATGACAATTGTCGGACGTTCATGAGGAATTTGTTTAAGATGGGCGAAATAAAAAGAAAATTGTCATCGTGTGTGTCCCGCGATACTGTAGAGATGTAATGTAGTGCAGTACGGACAGCTGCGCATGCGCTGGTGGTTGTGTAAGCCACTTCGAGATAATTCGCGAATAACATCGACATGTCGCAACTTACAGTACACGTCACTAGCACTCCTCCGGGGGTGAGCTAAGCCAGGCCAGACATGTAGGTAATGTCAGTTTATATTAGTCATGTCGCATATTATATTGGTATAACTACACTACAATTAAAAACATTGCACACTTTGTCTTAGCGAAATAACAAGCGACGACGTCGACGATCTTTCCCCTTCTCATGTGTGCACATTAGTGTTACTTTAAAATGAAAGGAATTGTCATTGCTAAAATATTGTTGTATTTGATTATTTCTTTATGTAAATCATATTAAAATGTCTCCAACATCTTTCCGGTTCATTACAATACCACATCATTGAACAAACAGTTTAAGAGACGCGTTGATGTCTTTTGTATGGGACATAATTTTAAAGTACCATTATTTCCCTTTTTGTTTATTTATATTTTAGTAATATAGCAATATAAATCAGTCGTTAACAGTTCATGATATTTGTACCTAGATATAATTATGTTTATGCTTACAGGTAACGGTGGTCAGTTTGTTAGTGGCGCTGGCAGTAGTGTCTGCCGGGCACAATAAAAGGGGGTGGGGTTCCCATGTAGTGGCGTACGGGGGCGGTGGGGGCGGAGGCTGGGGCGGCTCGGGCGGCTCGGGCTGGGGTGGACGGCGGTCTGGATGGAACGGTGGTGGTGGCGGGTGGAGTAATGGCTACGGATGGAACTCTGGTGGCTCCGGATGGCGAGGCAAGTCTGGATGGAGCGGCGGTTCTGGATGGCAAGGGGGGTCTGGATGGAATGGCGGTTCCGGGTGGCAAGGACGATCTGGATGGGGTGGTGGTTCTGGATGGCAAGGAAGTTCCGGGTGGAGCGGCGGTTCCGGCTGGGGAGGCTCCGGCTGGAAGGGAAAATCTGGATGGGGAGGATGGTAATAAATAACACAAAGCAAATTAAGCCAACCAGAGCACAGAGTCTACTTTAGCGTCATAAGATTACGTGAACCTCTTCAATCGAATTTATACATCATGTGAAATAAATTGTTTTTACAATCTAAACGATCTTCTTCAATTATCCCTACCCTGTCGCTCGTGTAGTACTAGACAGTACAGCGGTCTACAATCATAAATAGTTAACTAATCACTTTATAATTGAAATAACATTTATTCGAGACAGTAATTGCTTCAATTAATTAATTGACATTAACTGTAAACAACAAGTAACTCAGTGACAAATGTAATAATTTTATGTCTCACATGTATGCGAGTTCGTTCACTTTCGATGGACTAACAGTTGCACAACTATTGCTGATCTCACACAAACGCGCTATTTGTGTGTCCAATTACAAAAACCAATCAACTGATAACATATATATGATGAAAGTGCCTCAGCTTTAGGTAATCGCTCTAGATCAGTGATCAGTCTGTCTATTCCTGAGTCTGACGCATTGAGATAAATAACAATATTTTGAGAATACAGTCATATTAACTCTTTGTATGGGTGCATTGCCATGGGAGGTGCCATACTGGAAGTTTTAGAATAGACAATGACAAATATTATTATGTCATAGACTAAATAACATGCAATGCGTTAAATATGACAGCAGTAAAATTGAATCTTGACATTTATATCAAAGATCTGCGACAGATTTACATAACAACTCATCCGACGTTGAATGTAAACATTGTATCGTGTAGCGACCGGCTGGAGTGATGGTACCGGCCGACCACTGAATACCTTGTACAAGTACATCCTCATAATAAAATTATCAATATAAGTGGATACAAGTGCTTCATAATACCTCCTTACTTCCTATACTTCCTCTTCGAAATGGAAAGGGCACACAGAGTGACCTGGCATTCAATATGCAATGATTGCACTGTTGGTGGGTATTTACCACAATATGTCGGTACTCGTCATACGCTCACTGCTCGGAAGTTGTTTGGCAATATGTGCGAGAGGACGACGACTCGTTCTCAGAATATTATCAAATTATTGTAATCGAAATATTCAACAACTTGGGGCTAACATTACGAAATCGCAAGTCCTTCATGAATTTACATACATTTACAAATCAAAGTAGTAGAATCTGTGTTTTGCCTAAACGAATACGATTTAATATTTATTAATCGATGCAAATTCTATATATAACTTGTTAAATATTAATTCAATTAATCTCATTGTGTCCATTATTATAGTTTCGGCTAATGGAGTCGTCATTGATATTAATTAGTTTCGCTGTCTTTGTTATGCAACATGTTTAATTCGATCTCATAAATATAATTCAGTGCGAGTACATTATAATATTCACTAAAAGCACGAGGAAGTGTCACAGCACTAGCAAGTGACCCGGCTCCTGCACAGCTTGTGCTAATCAATGATGTATACAGACACAATAATCTGTTTCATATAGCGCTGGCCGCAGCGCTCTCAGCAGCGACGAGCAGCTGCAGCCGGCCACTGCACAATACTTGGAGCACATGTTACAGCTACCTATCTATGATATCAGCAGACGACAGATTACGAAGTGTTGCCGCTCTAAGCCACACAAAGTATTGTGATAGCGACGAGGCAGGCCGTCACTCGATCCGCGTGGAACTTTGGCAACTGCCCCACGTGTGGTAATCTTAATATAATTAATCATGGCCGCTGTGCTCTCGCCGGTGCAAGTGTTGCAACATTCCAGTCGGATGTGCCGCCATGTGCCACATTCACAATGTAATGACTAGATTTCATTAATTCTAGTACACTTCGATTTCTAAATGTAAATCAGATAATTATAAGTGCTTTGCTAAGATTGAGTAAATCTTACTTACATTTATGTATTTACTAAATATATCTTTAGGAGTAAGTGACAATAAAACTGTGCCTGCAACAATCAAACACATATGTATTAGATAGCTGCAGGGTCAGTCTATTTTACTTTTCCAAGCTCTCAATTTATTTTCGTGGACGTAGACTTGAACTTTGTTATTTATTTACTGGTCGCTGCTCTCTATAATTTCAAACCGGAACCAAATATTTGTTTGCAAACAATATTAGTATTCGACAGCTTTGGGAATTCTGCAATTATTAACCAGAATTAAGTTCTCATATAGGAGATACAGTAGCTAACTAACTACCTATTAAATGTCAGTGGAGGACACACTTTTGTTGACAAACCAAAAGTATATGCAAATCAATTATAGGCAGGACGTAATATTATGTTCTCCTTTCAGAGAGCTATAAAGTGTGGAATTCATTGTATATTTACGATGTCCGAATACATCGAATATTTAAATATCAAAGCAATTAATTTATTTGGTCATTTGTGTTGCAAATCAGTGTAACCTTACTAGTGGCCGCGGGAAATCACACAGCACAATAAACCCCGCCCCGCACCGCACACAGTGTCATCTGCGCACGCGCTTCAGGACACTGCCAAAACTAGGTCTGTCTACTCTGGACTAACGCAACACGAATAGTAAAATACTACTTAATATTTTAAATTCTACAAATTGCATCATGTTACAAACGTTCATCTGAGCGCCTCATCACTCACATGTCCACAACACACGATGGACATTATAAAAACTAGAAACAAAGTGTACCGCGTCCGCGGCGCGTGTCAGTCGGTAGCGGCGCACGCGCATGTAGCTGTCAAGGTCACGGTTGAATGGTGATGCGCCGCCGTTACCGCGCCGCATACAAAGCGATACAGATCAGCCAATGTCGACGACTCTGCCATTTCTAAACATGATCCCATACACTGGTGTTTCCTCCTGTCTCGTGAGTGCATGTATAACATATTCTCACACACACATCACTCACACCCAACCCCGGAACAACAATGTGTCATTGTGTTGTCTGTAAGTATTATTAAGTATTGTCTAGTTGTTACCAATCCCATGTTGTATGGCATGAGGACTCGATGCTGTCAACTGACCAGTTCTGTAACTTCTGCAACGCATGCAGTTCCAGTGGGCAGACGTTCACTTTAAAATTAGATCAAAGGCGGCTGCGCGTGCGCATCCACTCGGAACCGGACGATACCCTTCATATTATTATGATTTGCCAATTCACCAATTAGCGCATCGCTTTAATTACGCTATTAATATTGCTTATAAATAAGTCGTAATCTATACAAATAAATAAAATTGGAGTGTCTGTTTGTAATATTAAAATAACTGCTTCCTACTACATGCATATGAATGTATATACGGTACACATACTAAAATATATATTTTTTTAATTTTTGTCTGTCTGTCTGTCTGTTTGTTCCGGCTAATCTCTGGAACGCCTGGACCGATTTGGACGGGACTTCCACTGGCAGATAGCTTATGTAATAAGGAGTAACTTAGGCTACTTTTATTTTAGAAAAAAAATCTTTTATTTTAGAAAAATAAAGTTATGTTGAAATGTTCAAGTACTGTCCAGTTCCGCGCGCAGCTCACGCGCATGCCACCACTGTGTCGTCGCATCGGACGCCTCCCACCAACGAATCATTATCACAAAGGCTGCCTGTCGCGCGGGCTCCCCACCACTTCTCCCACCAACGAAACATTATCACAAAGGCTGCCTATCGCGCGGGCTCAGAACGCGCGAGCGGGCTATTGCTGAAGGTTGTGTCTCGACGACTTCATTTAGAAATTAATGGTTTCCGGTGCTTTTATCATACTTTTGATTGATAGTTTGATTTGATTGATAAGTAACTTTGATAATTCCACTGATCCGTTCTTCTAATCTCATCTTAATTCATTCAAAATATTTTGTTACATTTTTACTGCTTTTCTTTTTTTACAT